TGATTTACAAATATTTTCTCTCATTCTGTGGGTTGTTTTTCTCTTCCTTGATAGTGCCTTTTGAAGAATGGAAGTTTTTGTTTTTCATAAAGGTTAACTTATCTATTTATTTTTGTTCCTTGACTTTAGGTGTCATAGCAAAGAAATCAATTCTTAATACAAGGTCATGAAGAATTACACCAATGTTTTCTTCTAAGAGTTTCTACAGGTTTAGCCACTACATTTACCATATTTTTATGCAGATAATGCACAAGTTCTACATTTGTTTGAAAACCCACTCCCCCCACCACCCTAGAGGTATTTTCATAAATGTATTATGTTTATTTTTCTTTCTTTGTTTTGTTTTTTTTTACAGTAACATGTGAAAAATAAACACATAGTGCACTTTTGAAAATACCTCATGGGGAAAGGAGGAAAATATGGTAAGTATTTGAACCACTTTGAGTTTATTTTTGTATACAATGTGAATTTCTAGTTATTCCAGTACCATTTGCGGAAAAGCTATTTTTCCCCACTGAGTTGCCTTGTTAACTGCCTTGTATGAATGATGGCTCCCAAAAGATATATACATATTTCAGTCCCTGGATGTTGTGAATGTTACCTTATGTGGCAAAAGGAACTTTGCACATGTGATTAAAATTACAAATCTTGTGATAAGCATACTATGGTGGATTATCAGAGCTAGATTATCCTAGATAATCCAAAATTGCTATTAAAGGATCACAACAGGAAGTTCAGCACAGGAGAAAGCAAAGTAAAGATGAAGCAGAGATTGGAGTGATGCAGCCATGAATGCTGGCAGCCTCTAAAAGCTGAAAGAGAGAGGGTACTGAGTCTCTCTGGGAGTCTCCTAAGGAACCAGTCCTGCTTACTCCTTGCCTTTAATAGTCTGGTAAAACTGAACTTTGACTTCTCACTCCATAATGCCACTAAGTTTGTAGTAATTTGTTCGAGTAGCAATAGGAAATTAACTTAGCACCTTGTTGAAAACTATTTAATCATAACTGTATGAGCTCAGTTCTGGACTCTTGATTAAATTTTTTCCATTGATCTATGTGTCTATCCTTATCCTAACCCAACACATTTTGATTATTGTAGTATGGTACTAGTTTTTGAAGTCAAGAAATATGAGCCTTCTATTTTTTGTTGTTCTTTTTCAAGGTTGTTTTGGTTATTGTGGGTACCTTGAATTTTCATATGAATTTTAGAATCAGCTTGCCAATTTCTGCAAAAAAATTAAACTGTAATTATGATAGTTATCATGTTGTGTATGTAGATTAATTTGGGGAGTATTACACTCTTAGTAATATAACATCTTATAAAACATGAGCATGGGATGTCTTTCCAGTTATTTAAAAACTCACTGCTGTTGAGTCAGTTCTGACTCATAGAGACCCTTCCTTGGGTTTCCGAGGCAGGATCTCTATGGTAGTAGATTACCTAGTCTTCCTTCTGAGGAGTGGCTGGTAGGTTTGAACCACCAGTCTTCTGGTTAGCAGTCAAGTGCGTTAGGCACTATGTCATCTTTTATATCTTTCAATGATGTTTTGTAGCTTCTAGAGTACAAATGATGCATTTCTTTTGTTAACTGTTCCGAAGTATTTTATTCCTTTTTGCAATGAATTGTTTTCTGTTTTACTTTTGAAAGTTAATTGTTAGTGTATAGAAATATAATTTATTTTTGTATATTCATCTTGTAACCTTCAATTTTGCTGAATTTGTTTATTAGCCTTTGTAGTGGTGTTGTGGTCTCCTTAGGATTTTTCATAAATGCATTCAAGTCATCTGCAAACAGATAAACCTTTACTTCTTCCTTTCTAATATGATACCTACTTTTTTATTATTATTATTATTGCCACACTCCCTGGTTAGAACCTCCAGTGCAATGTTGAAATGAGTGAAATTCATGAGTGAAATTCAAGGAATGAAAGTGGTAAGAATAAATACCTATATTTTGTTTCTGATCTTTGGAGAAACTTTATGTCTTTCATGATTTAAGTATAATGTTAGCTGTGTAGTTTTCATAGAGCCCTTTATGAGGTTGAGGATGTTCCCCACTATATCTAGCTAGTGAGTGTTTTCCTCATAAAAGGGCACTTGATTTGTTAAATACTTTTTCTGCATCTATTGAGGTGATCATCAGGTGTTTGTCCTTTAATTAATATGGTGCATTGCACTATAAACATGTGTTGAAATAACTTTGCATAACTATGATAAATCCCTGTTGGTCATGGAGAATAATCCTTTTTCTGTATTGCTGTTTCTGGTATGCTAGTATTGTGTTGAAGATTTTTTTTTTTTT